CGTAGCTCGTGTGCGAGCAGAGAATGAGGAGGTTCTCGTAGAGTAGTTCCCCAGTTACGGGCACCTTTGGGGGTGGATCGTCGCTCTCTTCGACGGATGTGGACCTCAATGGGTCCTCGACATCGGTGCTGGTGTTGCAACCGGGTCGTTTTTTAAGTGCATGTTGGTTTCGCCTCAGAGAGGTTACTTATCCCCCGGACCACGGAAAGGTCTGCACAGGACTCCGTCTCGACGACGGAGCCCTCCCGAGGGGGAAACTGGTGATTATCTCAGGTAGAACGCCGACTCCGCTCTGCAAGCTGTTTCGGAGCCTTCTGGTTGCAATCGCACAAACCTACATAACGCGCTACGTGATGCGTGTGTGCGGTCGGGTGTGTTCCGAAGCTGCAAACACTGGCTGAACCTTGCTAAATGTGTACACGAACCCTCGAGCCTGCGTGCCCCTTCGAACCTTGGCATATGGTACCGGGTGCAGTACGCTTCCTCCTGCGGTGATAGGTTGGTATTGCAATGGTCATCAAGACTGTTCGCTGAACCACATCCATAAGGCGACGGACCACTCAAGAAGCCTCACCACACAATAGCTGTATACCAGTGCCATTGAACACGTGCCGTCACCTCAAGATCTGAGACTTATAATCAAGGAAGGATGAAGTACACATTCTCATCGCATCCCTATCGTACACACACAATAAGTTACCTGCGACCCACTAAATAGGGTTCAAAGCTATCTTTTCAACGTCCTTTTCGTCCTGGGCCGTCAGGTCCCAGTCCTTGTCAGTCTCAGTATGGAGCGGTATCTCCCGCATCAGCAGAGAGGAGAGCAGCCCAACGCCCGCGACGCCCGTCAGCGCCTTCCACAATATGGCGAGGCTCTCCGCGAACGCGAGGCGCACCTCCTCCCTCAGCGACGGCGTGAGCGTCGACAGCTCGGGTATGATGGCGTACGCGAGCGCGACGCCGTTGGGGAACTGCGCGATGTAGGCGGCGGGGAGCCGCCGGCGCAGCTCGTTCTGCAGTATGGCGTTGCCCATGGTGATGCCCCAGATCTGCGGCGAGTCAGCGTCACGAATGGGTGTGGGCGCTGGGCAGAGGACGTCACTCACGCTTGCGAAGGCGCGGACGAACGCGTAGAATGTCATGGAGCGTGCGTTCTCTGAGGTCGGGTGGGGCGCTTGCACGGGGAATTGAGCGACAGAGTAGATGACGCTGTATGTTCTGCATGAGAAAACAATCATCAATTCGATGTCTTTCATATTTCTGACGCACCCAATACCGGATCCCGCGATTACGCTGAAGCCGATCGTGCGCGCGCTCGGGTCGTTGGCGGTGATAGTTGTCAGGAGCCCAAACCCTATGATGGTCAGACACCAGCCGGCCCACAGCGGTGGTCGGTATTTCTGGCTGATTCCAACCATCACTCCTCCAACTATGGCGGCCGGGGCGATGGCAGCGAGTCCGAGAGTCTGGACACCGGATAAGAGGGGAGAAGAACCCTTGCAGGCTTGGTAATAGATGGGGATAAAGTCTAGTCGTAGCATAGTGAGGATCTTCGGAGAGAAGACAGATGATCTTCGACTCACAGACTGCGGCGAGAGCGAGTACTGGCGAAAAGAAGTTCTGCAAATATCTAGACATGGTCACCGTCGGTGAAAAGGACGCGCGATCTGTGAAAGTGACGCACCCACTAGCACTTGTCCGATCTGACATCAGGTGATACGGGATCTAAACTTCGTTGAATGGATGGAGATCGCACGGACTGAGAAAACATACAATAGGTTCTGTCGCCCAACGGCTTTCGTAGACGAAGAATAGCAACAGGCCCGCCAACCCGATGCATAGTGGCACCAGGACTTGTGCAGATCCCCATGAGTATTCGATACCGCCCCATGTGAGGCCGAGTGCGCATGCGGCGGAGCTGCCAACAACGATGAGGTTTCCTCTGCAATATCTCAGCAAATAGGATATAGTCAGAGTGCTACGCTCTCACCCCCAGTCCATACGTGCCATCTTCTCGCTGAAGGTCAACCGCGGGGCCCGGAGCTCCATGAAGAAGACTGTGACGAAGATACAAAACCCGCATATTGGTAGGTTGAGATCTGCGCGAGACATCGGCTTCAAGCGACCAGGGGTAGAGGAAGCTACAAAGTACGTACAGAAGAGCCATCTCCACGCTCCGGCCGAGGCGAGACCACCGCCTACTACAGGACCAATGGCACAAAACAATGCCCAGGTCCTGTCGCGACCAACATGTTAATATGAACACCAGGAGCGATCACCACGTACGTACAGTCCAATAAGTCCAAAGAAGAACCCGCGATCGCGTAAGGGAACTAGGTCTCCGAGGACAATATCTGAAAGGTTGACGATGGCTCCGCCTCCAGTGCCCTGGACCGTTCGTCCAGCAACCAACATGGCGTTGCTATTCGCTGCGCCACACAGAGCGCTTCCTAGGGCAAAGAGGAGAATAGAACCGACAAGAACTGGTTTTCGGCCAAATGTTTGAGACAGACCGCCAACCATAGGTAGGAAAGCGGTGGATGCCAGAGCATACGATGCCCCAATCCAAACGAAGTCGGTCGCATGGAGCTCTTTCACGATGGTGGGAAGAGCCGTAGAGACCGAAGTGAGCTCAAGAGCAAAAAGTCCAAGGGCGGAGCATATCGACAAGAACGACATCCAGAACTTGAATCCTCTCGCCTGCGGCCTCGCAGCAGCGGAGTCATCGACGATGGGCGAGTCGGCGTCGTTATCCGAGGGATTACTGGAGGACTGTCGAGGGACGGTGGCAACGGATTCCATGGACATAGTCCGGTGAGTTCGCAGTAGGCACCGAAGGGCGGTAAGGCGGCGGCTATGCCAGCGAGGAGCGTATCGCAGACCATGACACTGACACCGACATCTGACGGTGTCACGCCGGACGCTTGACCAACACCTTCGTGCATGGATGCTCCGAGAAGGCACGCGTCCTCGACAAGATCAAACTCTGTGGACTGCAATTGAAATATGCGTGCCGTAGCTTGGCCGCAGCTAACGAACTGAGTCGCACAGCCGGTGACATGATGCTGCCAGCTATAGGCTGAGCTACTAGCTCGCTGCCATACAGGAGTCGACGACACCTGTACATACGCTCGTCGCTCGGGCACCTCGGGACACTGGAAGCCATGTCAGCCTCTGGTGGCAATCGCGAAGGCTTTCAGGTTGACTGACCGTCCCAATCTCAAGACATGCACGGCCACGAAGTAGGCGATTTGCATCCTTCGTTACATGATTACATGAATAAACCGAGGGTGTACTAATAGTACGCGCGGATGTGCTGTGAGACTGGCAGTGGCGTGGCGAGACATTCAGATCTTGTTCAGATCGTCCGAGTCGGGGCAGTCGGCGCGCGTCTGACTCTGTATTATAACCACGACGACGTCCCTCCTTCAAAATTACCACCACCATTCTGCGGCTCAGGTTTGCTCCTTAACACACCAGAATTAATGTCCAAGTGTCGGCCAGCGCGCAATCATCTGAATTAAGTCACATACAGTCATCGTTTCAACGCTGTGGCTTCTGGCTAAGGGGGAACTTGGAATGCTACGAACCACCTCTTGCCGTTGTTCCTGGCTATCTTCAAGTTGCTATTCAGGCGACTGCGGCTCACACTGACAGCGTACAGCAAGAAGGAGCAACTCGACAGCGGCACCTCACTTGGGGTGCTTTAGTGTGACACAGCGAGCGCCAGTCGTCATGCTCCCGAAGTGTGAGTGTCATCGTACTTGTTGGACACTGACTGGTACTGACATGCATTCGCATCGAAAGAATGCCGCAGTCATGAGTCCGCGCGCCGATTCTATAGGCCCACAGTTGGGCGTGCATATAGGCTCCAGTACAGTAGTCTCGAAGACGGAAAGGGTTGACGTTACGACTGAGGTAAAGTGCTTCAGGCTCGCCTTGACCGGGATATCTCATTTATCTGTCTATTATCGCATTCCTAGCGCATGCGCTAGCTCGCGATACCATTCCCGTCCACGCTGCATTTGTTAAGGTTGATTGTCCTTGCAGCGGAGCATTCAGATCTCCGTGTCTAATACAGGCTTGCCGGACAATATGTGGAGAATGCGAGGGACACGCTGTATAGGCTGATCCTCGTTCGCCGCGTCTCACTCCTTGTCGTCACGAAAACTACGCTAGTCGCTCCTTCTTCCGCTCTGTCTTGTGCTGTTGCTGATGTCATGTTATATGCCCGGTCCCGCGTTTGCCCTTGAGATCTGGGTCAATACCGAACGTGCACTTGACTTGTATAGGATAACGTGTAATCTGTGCTATGTCCTGATTGTGGTTCTGTCGGTGCTGGGGCAACGTACGTCGTGTGTGGTGAGTATGTTTAGCTTTCCTGTGTGCAGCGAACTCACACATGCCACCTCGATTCCATGACCACTGTCACGCACATCTTCGCGATCTTCATTGTTCTGACCATTTTGCACCGCAGGAATATGAAGACATGGCCGGAAATCGGCTCATCAAACGAAAAATTGTCCATGGTTTACATCAAATCACACATATCTCTATGGCCGTCGCACTTCAGACGGCCCATAACATCTCTGCGTGACGTGGTGTGCCACTATCAGTGTTATCAAGTAAGCAGGCATATGATCGCGTCTTCGACTACGCTGCGCATGCGGAGGAAAGTCGTGTTACCTACTTCCCTACTCGGACCAGCCTAGGCCGTTCATTTGCAACACTGTTATTTGGTATGCATGGTTCTAACCTTTCGTTTCATGGTAAGTACGCTGATATCATGTCTGACAGGAGAGAACCAGCTAATTGAATGCCACTCCGTCTGTGCAAGGGATGACCACCTCATTGGTGTGTAACGTAGGCAGCGCCCAACCGTATGTCGGTGGCAGACATCTGCGGCGATACATAGGCAGGGTCAGCCCGCATATGCTGCCCGTCTTATGTCCACTGCGACTTCAAAGACGTCTTCTCCCCGCTTCCCAGGGAGCACACGCATGCACACGATGCTTACTCTTTTCGACTTCTCCACATCTCTCGCCGCGCTCTTAGCGAGTGTCGTCCTCCTCGCTTACATCTATCCGAACAGATGCATCGGCACTGTGGATCGACCCGACCTGCCCGGCCCGCGAGGTCTGCCGCTGATAGGAAACTTGCTGCTCGTCTTCCAGAACCGCAATGGCATGCTCAAGTTCTTGGACAACATGGAAGCGACGTACGGCCCGCTGTTCACATTCACGCTCCCGAGCTTGGGTCGCAATATCGTCATCAATAGGCCGGAATGGCTGGAACACATGCGCAAGGGTAATTACCTGCTCACAGGTTCTGTGTTGTGTTGCGCCTGATGCCCCGATTATTCTAGGTGATACGACCATATATGCCAAAGGCAAGGTCGTGCGAGACGTGTTCAGTCAATTCGCCGGCTCAACCACGCCCATATCCACGGACGGGTCGGCCTGGAAGGATGCTCGCAGATTGGTACAGTGAGTACCGCGCCTCATATTCATCCTCAGTCCGAACGTCTGAGTTCATGCCCGCCTTTGATAGACCCATTTTTGCCGCAAAAGCAGTCAATACCCACGCCTCCAAGGCGATGTGCGAGGTACGGGTATCGTCGCATCTCCGCCTCACCCGCCCCTGAGACCCGTCTTGTTCATCAGATAGTTCCGACAGTCAAAACCCTGCTGAGAGCGGCGTGCCACCAGAATGTGGTCGTTGATTGGAAAGGTGCGTGTCTCGACTGATTGGAGAGTATACAGCGTATCAATTGATATGGTGCAAAGATCTCTCTGGACGACTGGCGTTAGGCATCTTCTGCAAGATGGCATTCGACGTGTCGACGGATATGCTCACCACTGAGCTGTCGTGTTTGAAGCTCACAAACGTCTTATCGGACACGCTGACCACTCTGGGCGTGATAACAGCCGAGTCAGTCGGTTGCTCAACCATGCTGTGTCCAACACTGAGTGCTGATATCTCCTCAGCCGCCTTTTCAACCCGGCATGGAGAATCACCGAACGGGTGCGTTGCCTCCACTTTTCAGTCTGGATGACAATGCTCATGTTGGGCAACAGTTTGACGGTACGCGGAGTCGGTTCGACGCAGCAAAAGCTCGATTATCCGCCATCGTGGACGATCTCATCCGTGACCGCTCTCACCCTGGCGGCTTCGACGCGGAGGAGAGTACGGATTATCTCACAGCCCTGTTAGCGAGCACGGCGGAGCAAGATCTATCGTCGACACGCGATACGCTGATGACCTTGTTCTTCGCCGGACGAGATAGCACGCAGAACGTCATTCTGTGGGCTCTGTACGAACTGACACGCAGCCCGGGTTGGATTGCGCTCATGAGGGAAGAGGTGGTATCGCGACCGCCCAAAGGCGCGGAAGGCATCATCACATTCGGCGAACTGCAGGCTCGTCTTTCTCCACTATTCCTTAATCACCATGGCCACTGAAGCTCGCGTTCAGAACTACCCGATCCACCTGGCCGTTTTCTTCGAGACACTCCGCCTCTGGCCTGGCCTGCCCAAGAATGCACGCCTCGCTACAGAGGATGACGTACTACCCGCGATCCCAGAGAAGGGCTTGCCTGCGGTGAGAGTGAACAAGGGTGACTTCCTGCTCTGGTCGGATATGGCGATGATGCGTAACGAGGATGTCGGTCTTCCTGGCAACTTAGCCCGCGCAGCCTTCACTGACCGCGCAAAACGTAGGTGTGGGGTCCCGATGCCAAGGAATTCAATCCGCGTCGCCATCTGGGCGAAGACGGCCGCTTCGTGAAACCCGACACTCCCCGCTTCCACAGTTTCGGGAGTGGACCGAGGGCGTGGTACGTCGACTCGTACTCAAGTCGTAATGGTGCGCCGATGACTGACGTGGAGCGTCTATAACACTCAAATTCAGCCCGGCCATGCAACTCATGACATACGAGTTTACCGCCATCTTTGCAGGACTTCTCTGTGATTTTGATTTCATACCTGTTCATCCTGGTGTGAGGAAGTCCATAGATGCGCTCGCGCCATTCATGGATGGTCCGTTCATGGTTGAGGTCCACGACAGGGTCGTCCAGTAGATGAAACGCGTGCCGTCCACTAGTGCGTTGATTGCAATGTCAGTTGTGTTGGTATGTACTTATAGTGTCAACATGTAGCAGATGACAGAGTTCGGCAGGTAGAACCGTTGTATATTCTTGAAACTTCCGAGGCTCAGAGGATGGAGGCGACAAACCCGCATGAGGGATACAGTAGGTTCATCAAATCTTGTGACCCCGTCGTGGAGTGTATGTGAATGATACTAAACGTACTCTGGATGGAAGTATGCGCGCGGTTGGAGTGTTGTGGTAGCCTCGGCGTCTGTGGCTATGTACCATGGCGGCTCGCCGACTCAGCGCTGTCTGTATACGGCGCCAGCACGTTGCATCTCAATGACTGCGGTGTGCCACGGAGGACCCTAAGTATTAGGACATTTTCATGGACTCAAAAATATCACCCGTGGCGGCGCCACTAGCGCGCTCCCTGCCGTCGGGAACATCCTCGGATCTGGAAATGGACACTGCTACATTGGATAGGCCTTCGATCTTCGTGCAGCGCTATGCCAGTGCCGTGATGAAAACCTCCGCTGGCGCCAAGAACCAAGACCAGACGACCTCAAGACGACCCCAGTCGGACGGTGCTGCACCTATTTCACCCCGGTATTCCTGGAGTTCAACTGCACATACGCTGGCTCCGCGACTGACTCGGACGTCTGGCTCTCGACAGCATATTCAACGTAGAACTGGACGAGTGCCGTTATGATACTTCCGCTACTATGCATAGTGCTATTTGTTATCTCAGCATGGTCGCTGTCCGTCAGGGCGTATCGTGCTCGTCCACCCCGCTTCCCTGGACCAAAGGGCCTGCCTCTCATCGGGAATATCCTGCCATCCAGGCGAAGGTGGCTCACGCTCGCAGCCTACAGTGAGAAGTATGGTGCGTAGTGTACTATGGATGCGTCGCTCCGATGCATTGCTGACCGCTCCGCATCAGGTCCCATGTACTCGCTGCGTGTCCTCCGAAAGCACATGCTTGTACTAAACTCTGCTGCTGAAGCTCGGGAACTCCTAGAAGGCAAATCGAATCTGTACATTATCCGTCCGATCCCTCAGATGGTTCTGCTGTACGTACTAGCCCCACTTCCTCTGAGAAGTGCAAGTATTCATGCCCTGCAACTGTAGTGCCGGTATGGACCGCGGAGTCCTTTTCGAAGGCGACCCTCTTCGCCTCCGCAAATCCAGGAAGCTCCTCCATCTAGTCCTCCAGCCACGGGAGCTTAGACGTTTCAACCCAATCCTGGTGGAGAGAAACAATGTCTTCTTGAACGACCTTCTGCGCACTCCGGATAAGCTAGTAGCGCACATCAGAAAGTACGACATTGATTTCTGCACCAGTTTGGCCCGACTGACGTGCTGCGCTCAGGCTCTCAGCTGGGATCACTCTGTCCATGTCGCATGGCTATGAAGTCAAGGGAGATCACGATCCATATGTAGAGATGGCAGACATCACCGTGCAGAATTTCGCCCAGGCTAACTCATCGGGTCGGTTTCTGGTTGACTGGATCCCCTTTCGTGAGCCTATTCAAAAAGCATAAATTTGGGATTGGTGCTCATCGTCTGGCAGTGGCCAAGCTGCCTGCATTCTTGCCTGGCATGGGCTTCAAGAGGCTTGGGCTAAGCTGGAGGCAACAATATACGGATCTGGCGGAGAAAGGACAAGAGTACGCAGAATCAAACTTTGTGCGTGCGTAAATTGTCTGCAATGCCATCATGAAATTCAACTCGTGCAAAGGCTATGGGAACGGCTAAGCCGTCTTTGACCTCTGCGGCCCTAGATTCTGACTTGAAAGACGAACGCGATATCATCATGTTCACGGCCACGCAGGTGTATACGGGTGAGAGAGCCTCTTCGCTGTGGTTGGTGATACCCGGCTGACGCAGGACGACGCATAGGAGGAGCAGACACCGTAAGTGTGCCAATCTTTTGGGAATGTGCCTGCTAAACAACCGTGAGAAGAGCACTTCGACGCTTTCGTCTTTCTTCCTCATGATGATGATGCATCCTGACGTCCAACGCCGAGCTCAACAAGAGATCGATGAGGTCATTGGCAATGAACGCCTACCAGAGTATGCCGATCGACCGCGGCTACCCTATGTCGAGGCCCTTCTCAAAGAGCTCTTACGTTGCTGTCCGCCCATACCTGCCGGTGAGCTCCGTCACATCCTTAATTTGCCTTACGTAGGCTCACTTATGTAGTTGCCAGGACTCCGGGAGAAGACGACGTCCACCGAGGATATCTCGTTTCGAAAGGAACTATCGTCATTGTGAACTTCTGGTGAGTGCCTTGCTTGACGGTGCCTGGAATTGTGAATTGGTGATCACACCTGCCAGGGCCATGCTTCACGACAAAAGCCGGTACGACGAGCCTGACGAGTTCAGGCCAGAACGCTGGCTCTCACGGGATGCGGACGACAACACGGACCCGTTGGAAGTTACATTCGGGTTCGGTCGGCGGTACGTTCGATGACATTATGACACTCATGCCGATAATGGATTGACGCTGCACCGGAAAGCGTGTGTCCTGGGCGCCACCTCGCCGAGTCGTTGTTGTTCACCGCCATCGTGACCACGTTGGCGGCCTTTAATATCGCCATACCAAGGGATGAACAGGGCGAACTCGTGAATGCGACCGGCGAATACAGCGATGGAGGAATGATGTCAGTCATGCTTGCTTCCATCGTGAACCTCAGCTCACATTACTACTGTACTGATACAGATTCCCACTTCCCTTCAAGTGCGACATTCGGGTGCGGTCCGAGCGAGCGAAAGAGCTGGTAACGAGCAGTGTCGCTTAGTCAGACCGACGATTGCATTGAGAATTTGAAGCGAATCATGATATTTGATGCAGATTGAATACAGACAATGGATGGTAGCAATCTGCGGTGAATCGTCCTGTGGAGTCCCTCGTGCCACCGTGTACTGCACGCTAGTGTTCAGTGGAGGTACTTATGATTAAAGTTAGCGCTGGCCAGTGAGTTGGCGTCGATGTCCTCCACCATACTACTGGTAAGTACTCAGGTCATGTCAGTGGTAGTACAGCGGCTCAACGCTGTCTGTACGGTGCGAACAGGCTGAATATGTTTGTAGCTAGCCCACTGTGCTGGGCAGTTCGGGGCAGTTCGGGGCCCGAGCCATCACTCGAATAGCACACGCCACAGCGCCAGCCCTTGTCGTCGGTAACTTACTTCGCGCTGAATGGCGATAACCTCCTGCCTCCTCCGACCGCAGCCTCACAGGGCCGAGCGTTCATAAAGTTCAATTTCAGCGGCCGTACCCGAGGGCATCTGTCGCAACTCAAGTACTGAGCGCTGTCGTGTTGGCAAGATGCTGGTGGGCGCTACTACATCCACGGCCCCCTCCTCCACGAGGAACCAACGCCAGACGACTCGGACAGTGCTGAACTCCCCTCACCCCGGACCTCCTGAAGCTCAAGCAAACACACACTAGCTAGACCTGCGACGTTCGGCCCCCGACAGCACCCTTAGCCTCCAGCTGGACGATTGCCACTATGATACTCACGCTTTCGTGTATAGCGCTATTTATTATTTCAGCGTGGTCGCTGTCCGTTAAGGCACGCCACGCACGCCCACCTCTGTTTCCTGGCCCGAAGGCTATACCTCTAATCGGGAATATCTTGCCGTTTAAGCGAATGTGGCTCACGCTCACAGCGTATAGCGAGCAATATGGTGCGTGGTGTGTAGACGCGTTACTAAATCGTTTCGCTGACCGGTCCGTATCAGGTCCCGTGTACTCGCTGCGCGTTCTGCACACGCACATGCTTGTACTCAACTCTGCCAGCGAGGCTCGAGACATCCTGGAAGGAAAGTCGCACCTCTACTCCGGTCGCCCGATTCCCCGGATGGTATCACTGTACGTGCCAGACTCAGTCTTGGAGAGAGTGCAAACGTATCACGCTCCTCTAGTGCCGGTATGGATCGCGGAGTCGTGTTCGAAGGCGACCCTCTCCGTCTCCGCAAAGCCAGGAAGCTGCTCCATCTGGTCCTCCAACCACGAGAGCTCAGACAGTTCGACCCTATGCTAGCCAAGAAGAACGACATACTTTTGTACGGTCTTTTGCGTAGCCCGGACAAGCTAATGGCGCATATCAGAAAGTACGTCATTGTATGCGCGGTCCGGTCTGTCCCAACTAACTTGCTGCGTTCAGGCTCACGGCTGGGATCACTCTGTTAATGTCGCATGGCTACGAAGTCGAGGGAGAGCACGACCCGTATGTGGAAATGGCAGATATCACCGTGCAGAATTTCGCCCAGGCTAGCGTCTCCGGTGGCTTCCTTGTTGACTGGATCCCGTTTCGTAAGCATGGGTAGAGGGAATCTGCTCGGATTGACTGCTAATTCTCAGGCAGTCGCCAAGCTGCCTGCGTTTCTGCCAGGCATGCATTTCAAGAAACTCGCACTGGGATGGCGGCAGCAATACACCGATCTGGCTGAAAGGGGACATCAGTACGTGGAATCGAGGATTGTACGCGCAACGACTGTGTGACGCGGAGACGATACTGAACTCGCGCATAGGCTATGGGGTCGGCCAAGCCGTCTTTGACGTCTGCGGCCCTGGTGTCTGACCTGAAGGATGAACGGGAAATCATCATGTTTACAGCCACGCAGTTGTACACGGGTGAGAGGGCAGCATTCGCTCTGATCGAATCTGCCGTGCTGACGCACAACTACCAAATAGGCGGAGCAGACACCGTAAGCGTGTCCGTCTTTTGTTCAAAGCCCGAAAGCTGATCATAAGCAGAGTACATCGACGCTTTCTTCTTTCTTCCTCATGATGATGATGCATCCTGACATCCAACGCCGAGCTCAACAAGAGATCGATGAGGTCATTGGCAACGAACGCCTGCCCGAGTATGCCGATCGACCGCAGCTACCCTATGTAGAGGCCCTCCTCAAAGAGCTCTTACGTTGCTGTCCGCCCATACCTGCCGGTGAGCCCCGTTACATCCTTGAGTTGCTTTACATTGGCTCACTTATGTAGTTGTCAGGACCCCAGCAGAAGACGACGTCCACCGGGGATATCTCGTTCCGAAGGGGACTATCGTCATTGTGAACTTCTGGTGAGTGCCATGATGGTAATCCCAGTCATGGACTAGTGATCACGCCAACTAGGGCCATGCTTCACGACAAAAGTCGGTACGACGAGCCTGATGAGTTCAGGCCAGAACGCTGGCTCTCACGGGATGCGGATGACAACACGGACCCGTTGGAAGTTATATTTGGATTTGGTCGGCGGTACGTCGAATGTCAACCATGCCAAAAACGAAGTACTGACGCTGCGCCGAAAAGCGCGTGCCCTGGCCGCCACCTCGCCGAGTCCTTGTTGTTCACCGCCATCGCGACTACGTTGGCGGCCTTTAATATTGCTATACCGAGTGATAAGCAGGGCAATCTCGTGAAACCGACTGGCGAATACAGCGATGGTGGAATGATGTCAGTCATACTTATACTTGCTTCTATCGGGAACCTCAGCTCACATCACTGCTCATACAGATTCCCACTTCCCTTCAAGTGCGACATTCGGGTGCGGTCCGAGCGAGCGAAGGAGCTGGTAATGAACAGTCTCGCTTAGTTGGAAGCGCACTAGCGATCGCATTGAGAGACCATCCGGAGAGCGAGTAGTAATATTTGAGACAGACCATACAGTATACAGACATGGTACAATGAATCCTGCCTAGGGTTCAGTAGACTTCATAAGATCGGCCGCCTTCTCAGCGATGGCAACAATAATGGCGACTGGGTGACCGGATACTTGGGAAGGAAAGACCGATGCATCTACAACTCGCAGGCCTTGGACTCCGTGCACCCGAAGCTCAGTGTCGACCACGCTGGTTCCTCGATCCCGTCCAATCCGCGCAGTCGACACCTGCAAAGCGACGAAGACAGTGAGATGCGTGGCATATACAGACGTGGGGTGCGTACTGACCGCGTGGTAGGTAGGTTCGGCGCTACGGCGTATCCATGCCTTCAACTCGTCGTCAGTGACCTATAGCGGATTCAGAATCAACGGACATGGTCAGAGCCGAAGACCACCAGCCTTGTCGGGGTCAGCATGTCCTGGCCAGAATGTGTCTTCCTGATCCGTGACTGTGGTCGTCTCGAGCAGAGAAGCGAGCGGCTCAGTGCGTGCCACCTGTAGTAGTATCCTCGTTCCGCGAAGCACGACATTCAGATCACTCTCAGACTGGAAGTAGCTACCCAGGGCTAGTCAAGGGTTGGCTCTGCGCGTACCATCGGGTCATAAACTCACTTCGCCTCGATCAGGGGTTTGTCCCAAACGCTATTGGACGCCAGTGTGATTTGGCCGGTGCTCTCAGGCTTGAGACAGACCGCACCCTTGCATAATATCAGCGGGTGACGCGATGTCCATAAAATCAGTAGATCCAACACACCATTGTGATTCCAGACGCCCCCGGAGTGGGTATGACAAGACCGTTGTCTACCGAGAAGCTAACGGGAGCCCACACCAGTTCCAAGTCTGGTGCGCCAGGTCCAGATGTCAAGTCCCTGATCGCAAGGTTCTCCGAGGAACCTGATAGCGCTGCGACCCTGGGTGAACGTCAACGATGGTCCTGCGACGAACGTCAAGACTCACTCCGGGTCGAAGGAGCGCAAGAATGCTCCTGATGAGGTGCCGAGCGCGGCGAGTGGGCCTCCTCCCGTGATGAGCCATCTGAGCATGGCCAACGCGCCGGGAAGAGGGTTGTTGTAATGGTCCCAGGTCGCGGCCGGTTTGGCACGAAAACGAAGCGGGCCTGATGCGATATGCTGCAGCAAGAAAAAGTGTCAGTAAAACCCCGCTGTTCTGATTCGTGACCACGAACATCAGTGAGGTTCTTCCCTACCAGAGGGAGGTCTTGTATGACTGGAATTTCGAGCCTTTGCAGGTCGTCTGCAGGCCCGATACCAGAGAGGAGCAGGAGTTGTGGGCTGGCGATCGCCCCGCCACATAGTATCACTTCGCGCGTAGCATCGGCACGGTAGCGCGGCAAGGTACGGCTTTTCGACACTTCCACGGCGATCGCGCGAGGCTCTTCTCCCGGGTCTTGCGAGAATATGATCTTTTCTACCATGGTCTCAACGGCGACAGTCAAATTTAGTCTCGACAGCACATCTGGTGTGAGATATGCTGCCGCGGCTGAGCTCCCTGAGAGTCGGTAAGTGACAGCTAGAGGCAATTTGAATGAATTATCCCATAGGCTAGCTTACGTTGGCCTGTCTCGTCGATGTGGCCCACGAAAGGACCAACTCCCATTGTTCCGCGGGGGAGTTCATGTCTCTGGACCATATCTGACATTTAGGAGTATGTCGCTGTGGTCGATTGAACTCACGGGTTGTACGGCATGCCCATCGCTACGCAAGCGTCGGTGGCTGCATTCACGACAGGCTGGAAGGCGTCAATAAATATCCTGGATTTAAAGAATCCCCCAACCTACCGCGGCCTGAGTGTTATGTGTCATGGGCCATGGACCGTTTAATCCGTGTTCTTCTCGTTTGACTCCTGGAAATAGCGAGCTGGCGCAGTATCGCTCGGCTTTGTCAAAGTACCTGTGGAATAGAAATACACTTAACGTGCGAGTTCTGCCGGAAGAAGTTTCGTATTACGGTCGAAGATCAGCATATCCCCACCCATTCGCACCAAGTTTTTCCCACTCGTTGAAATCTATCCGAGACTGTATTCATAGGTGTGGCGCAAACACGCAGGCAGTTGAAACGTACCTTCAGGTGCACAACGATGGCAAATCATGGAGTTCAGGGCGCTACAGGTTGTAACTTGTTTGTGAGTGAAGCATGCAAGGTAACTGCAAGTTGCTGCGAACCTCGTACCGCCCAGTATCTTCCCTCTGTGCCAGTTCACTCGTCGACCATACATCTTCTGCTGTGGCCTAGATCTATGTTAGCCACACACACACACCCAGAGCCAGCAGCATTGCGCACGTGGTTTGGTAGCTCCAGTCGACAGATGTCTGAAACATCTTGCTATATGCAAGCGGGATGCGGCTGAGTAGGTCTCCTTCATGGCTAATTCAGGTTGAGTGGGTCATACTTTTGATCAATTCCCTCACGCACCTCTTGCCTGCCTCGATAAGCAAGACAGTGTTGTTCAGGTCCTCAGATAGCCGAGAGGCAAGGACACATCCTGCAGTGCCTGAAATGA